TGGTGTGTTGTTAATCACAGGCAATGCAAACTGCTCTTTTCCTTCATTGCTTGACTCCTCCCTGAAGTTGTGGAGGTTGTAAGGTCATTACTTCCCTTGTTGGCCAGAGTCTGATGTGAATTCTAAGCTCTTTGAACCATTACAATTCTGAGAAAGTAGATTTGTCCAAAGGGAACTTCAGGAACAAAAGAAAAGTAAGAATAAACTAAATGGTTCTTTATTAATCTGAAGACACTTAAGTTTTTTTGAAAAAAGAAAAGTGGGGAGGAGAGAGTTGGGGAAAAGGAAAAGTAACAAGTTGCTTCCCCAGCTTTATATTGTTTGTTAGGGAAGCCTGGGAGAAGAACTATAAAGGAATATAACTAAAACTACCTACTGGTAAGGCTTTTTATTTACTGTCCTGTCCTGGGCAAGCTTGCAAGGATTCACCCCAGGAAAGGACTGTCCAATAATTGACAATATTTCGATTGGATGTGTTGAAAATGAGGGATATTCTGGCTCTTTCAAACATGATGTTATGCTGGTTGTGCCCTTACTAGAAACTCAGTATGGCAAAGGAAACCCTGCAGAAGACTTGCAAGTGATTTCTGTGAGTTTTACATGAGTTGAGCAAACTTGGATGTAAATCTAGCCTGGAGCAGATATGAATATGTTCAGCCTTCAGGCTGGAAAGACCGGATACTGCTAACAGCATGTTAGCATGTGCTGTTGATGTGGAGATTGGTATCTGCAGACGATGTGCCCCTCTTTGTTTTGGGAGGAAAAGTCTCCTTTCTGTAAATTAAGGATCTCTGATTTTAAAATTAATTAATATTCATGTGCAGACCTTAACAAAACACCATTCTTCCTTGTTCCAGTACTGCATGACATTTAAGTAGTTTTTGTTGCGGACAAGCAACCTGTGAAAAAACATCAAAGGCTACTTTTCAAATCAAATTAGTAAACTTTTAAATTGTTTGCCATATAGAATTGCCTATTGAAATGAGAGGAGAACATTGTGGTGCCTACAAAACCTGTTTTATGGGACATGGAGTAGGAAAACAATCTTGAAATAATAGCACGCTTGGATAAGATATCCTGTGGTGTTCATTACTTATTGTTGTTGAACAGTTCTTAAAAAGCTAAAAAAATTGCCAGGTATCCCAGGTACGAAAACTGGAGATTGAATGAATAAGTTACATTACACAAGAGCAAGACTTTTAGGAGAGTATAGCAGTTCTTTCAAACCAAAAATGTAGCTTTGAAACCTAATTTAAATATTAATCTTTGTGTTAAAATATATGGTTAGATATGAAATTGCAGTTACATTTTTTTGATCCCTTTGTTTTATTTAACTGCCTGTTTTTCAAAACCTTGCAAATAGCAAGGACATGTTTCAAATGAAGTAATTTTTAATGCTTGAGTGCTTTTTTGCAAATAGGTGTTAAGTTTGCTTAGCAAGCATTTCTCTTAGCAGTAGATGACAGCAGTTTTGTGAAAGGTGATGTTACATAATGATTTTACAAAATATTTGTTTTGTAGGTTTTGACATTGACACACCAGATGACTTCGGCAGGACTTGTCTTCATGCAGCTGCAGCTGGAGGGTATGCAACAAAGCATTCATGCTTTCATATTTATTGTTATTTTTTCAATTCATCGTTCCTGCTCTTTTTTTAGTAGTTCCTCTCTGTGCTCCCCTTGGAATTTATGTAAAGATGAAAATAATTTCAAGATGGATTCTATCTGCAATCAATACAAATAAATTAACTATTCAGCTCAATAAGTAATTGCTGGAGTACAGTGTCCAGGTATCATCAGCCTTACCTTAGGTTTATGTTTGGGGATGAAATTACTTTTTTTTTTAATTTCCATGGATGATTATATCATTTTTAGAATTTACAGTATTGAAAAATGGCATGCCCACCTCAAATCACGTAGAACATGAGGTGGAAAACAGCAACTTTGGGAAAATTGTTTTTACCATAAACAAAAAATAATCTAACTAAATTAAAAGCAATAATTAAATTCCAGAGTTTGGGTGGATGAAGTAGTCAGAACTACTTGCTCATCACTTGTGATCCATATTGATTACTGTTATTGTATTGTAGATTTTCTATAGCACCTACTCAAAATTGCCTGGAAGAATTGGGTAATAAATTTCCTGACACACTCTGTGGGACACAGGAACTCCATGATATTGATATTTTCAGTTTTCTGTTGGAATGTTGTTTAAGTAATAATGTAAAGTAAGCATTCCAAGTCAAAAGCTACTTGATAGATACATTCTTGTTGCAAGTGATTAAGGTTAAAATGCTGTCTTTTCATATGAAAACACGTAATTTGTGACACTTTCTCTCATTCATCTCCAGTTTAGGAAAGTTACCAAGGTAGTGTTTAAACAATTAACAGTGTTGTACATCTATTACGATGATCATATTTTATTGAAAATTGATTACACGGAAAAGTAAAATATTTATGTTGTAACTTGTACTTGGCCTTAAAAAACATGCAGTAAAAACTTGCCTCTGTGCTGGAATCCTGGTAGCAAAAAGCGTGTGACATGCAGGTGTTATTGTTTGTTTGTTTACAAGAATTGAAATTTTTTATTGAATTACATTCATGTTTATGTGCTTTATGCATGCTATTTGATATCAGTAAAATTTATATATATGTGGTCTTGATGTAATTTATATTCTTTACTGATTTGGTCCAGCAATTATAAAATCTGGTTTACATGCAGAAATGTATTTATCAAAAATTTCATATTATAACATATGAGATGTACATGTGTAGCAGTTCTGATATTCATAGAGGCCAATACTAAGTAAAATTTGCAATCATGAGTAATAGTGCATTAATTTAATAGGAATTTGGAGTGCCTAAATCTTCTGCTAAATACTGGTGCAGACTTCAACAAAAAGGACAGATTTGGAAGGTAAGACATTCTAGATTTGTATTCTGTAAAGGGCTGTTAAAAGTACTGCAGAAGTAGCATATTGCTGTGTGGGCAAGTCTGTGTGTTCCAGGTTAAATGTTTTTTAAGATACAATGTCTCTAATAAACTGTGCTTCAACATCAGAAATCACAAATATAGTTTGTTTATTGTGTTTTGTTAAGTAGATGTTTTGTCTTGTTTTTAAAGACTGAGTTTTGTATTCAACTGTAACTTTTATGTGCCTTTTTTTGCTTATAATGTGGATCTTGTGTGTTTAAGTTGCTCTCATCCGAGGACATTAGTAATGTTTTCCAAATAACGTATTAGTCAAATCTATAAATCTGTTGCTATTTCTAAGCTTTTTTATTAAAATACTCATTATTTTATTATAAGTGCTTCCCCTTTTTCCTTTCATTATATCCATCCCTTTCTGTTTCCCTGTTTAAGCTCTAAACCCTTTTGGAACGACATTCATTTCTATTCTTAGTACAGGATTATTTAAGTTCAGATGGCATGATCCGTACTTGTGTAAAATACCGTGTCACGTCATGGAAAATATGATTTTCCAGGATGTGAACAGCAGAAGTAGGAATTGAGGACAATGTTATGGATCCAAAGTTGTATTTTGCTTTAAATTCCACTTCCGTTATTTCCTGAGAAAGGAACAACTATCTGTCACAACTTATGTAATTGAAAGTTGTTTTTCTTTCCTGGTTTGGATTTTGGTTTAATGTGCATGTTATATAGAGCAATTATTTCATGAGATGGAAAATATTCAAGTAGTTTAAAATGGAGAGAAATGGGAAAAAGTAATATTAAGAGTGATGGAAGAGGTGGGACACTTTAAAGTGCCTGACTGTCTTCTTGAAATTGAGATATTTATAGCAGCAGTCTCTTTTTAAAAATAAAAGTGGAGTTCTGAGTCATCTTGATCCTTTTGAAATTTTAGCCAAACTAGTTTATTTAGAGAATTGTTTATGTATTTAAAGCTGTGAAAAGTTTTCTCTGAGATTATACATCAGTATTAATATTTCATGGTTTTGTTGTAAGAAGACAAGGTATATTTTAAATTTTTTCTTTCAATGACTCTGCTATGTTAGTATAGTTAAAAATAAATAAATAATGCTTTCGTCTCTTAGCAAAAACATCTGTTTGTTAATTGTTGTATTTTACTTTTAATTCACTTAGTTGCTGTGCAGTTCTTTGATTTGTCCATATTTTTCCATGTGGCTTGAAATTACTTAACAGAAAATAATATTTCTAATGTAAACTTGATTTCCCTCTACAAGTTTACAAAAGAAAAATCATATAAAGCTTCCTTTAATACAAAGTTTATGCATATTTTGGCTGGCAAATAAATCCCCTAGATACTGTTCTGCATTATTAAATGGTCCCTAGAAAATGGCTCCATATTTTAATATTGCGTTCTTCACCACAAATACTTGTTTAAAAATGTAAGGAGGATTTAAGTTTCACTTTATTTTGCTTTTTCTGTCTCTATAATATTATTTTGCTGTTATTTACCATTGTACTTTTTATTTAAATGTGTACTAAAGAACTCCACTCCATTATGCTGCTGCCAATTGTAATTATCAGTGCCTGTTTGCCCTTGTGGGATCTGGAGCTAGTGTGAATGACCTTGATGAGAGGGGTTGTACACCTCTGCACTATGCAGCTGCATCAGACACAGATGGGAAGTAAGTGGCATACTTTGTACTAAAGCCTTTCTCATTAGGAACATTTGAGCTGTGAATGTCATGTATGCTCTGCCTTCAGATTTGCCAGATGCATTTTTTGTATTTTTAGAGATGGAACTTGACAATGTGTTGTTCATTGTATATAAAATACATTATGTAACAAATATTTCAGAGGGGGGAAAACGAACAATAGTAAAATGTATTGTAATAATTTTGTTATGTCCTATAATGGAGATGTCTTAATTCAGGAGTTCATTGGGAATAGAGATTTTAATCCCATCTGCTGTATAGTGGTTGGGTAAATATCTTTTGTGGGGGTTATTAAGACAGCTCTGAGCAGTAGAGTCATTTTGCTTTATAAACAAATTCTGATGAAGAATGGTGTTTTATGGAGTGTTCTTAATATTGCCCCAAAAATCTGCATAATTAGTCAGGAATGCACTGTGAAGCTAGACTGTGAATCACAGTAGGCCTACAGCAGGATATATATGAACTCATTATTTCAATATAAGATGCTTCTTCCATTTGTTACCTGATTAAAATAGTCCCGTTTGGCATTACAACTCTATCTCTTGAGAGCGAAATTTTTGTGATATAGTTACACTTTTACTAATGCAATGCATCCAGAATCTTTCATAAATCCAGAAATCTCTTACATATGTTTATTTTGTAACTAATGGTTATATTGTACATGCTTATTAATGCCCTAAAAGCTGTCATGCAAAGTGTATATAGTTAGCATAAAATTGATGAGGTTACTTAAGCTCCAGATATTACATATCTTGAGGATACTCGAGAAGAGCAGCACTTGCTTGTGCACACACTCATGTGAACTGGTCATGGTGTGCATTTCACATGCATACAGTGACTCCTTCACTGGAGAAGTGCTGCTTTGTGCCATTTTGTCTTGTTTTAATACAGCACCTTTTAAAAGGTGAGGTAGCAATAGGAATGAGGTGGCATATAACTTACACATTGGGTTCTGAAGGCTAAATAAAGAATATTATCGTGGCCATTTAACTTACATTTGAAGAACATCCCTTTTTTATGTAAAGCCAGATTTCAAACTAAAACTATTGCTTTTTAGATATACTTTCAACTCCTGCTGGAGTTTCCTGAGATAATTTTGCACTCTTACAAGTTGAGCTAGGATTAATTTTAGCTTCCCTGTTGCTCTGAAAACCTCCAAACTATAATGGTTCTTCAGATGACATCGTTTTGCCATCTGTCTTACAAAAGGCACAAGCGAAAATGGTGATGACAATACTGCAGAGCTTTGTGAGGTAACTCAAAGGATTGTCTGTGGGACCCACGTGGTATTGCCCTTCTGATTAACATTTGGGTCTCTGGAAGACAGGCTGCAAAGCAGAATGGCCTGAGGAGAAGCTTTTTATGTTGATGCAGCAAGATGATTAGTAACAGCTGGAAAAACAGTGCTGCTCAACTCATATTCAAAACAGGAATTAAGTTAAAATGATTATTCAGTTGGAATATAAAGCCTGGGAAAAAACATGTCAGGAAGCCATCTATACAGAAATTCCAAATGTAGTTGTGTGTGGTTTTACATTCTTTGTTCAGACATCTTTAAAGACGGAGTTTAGAGATGAGGATGTTTTTGTTGAAAATTGTATTCTGGTTTGTTCCAGTTTAGAAGTATTTCTTCTGTATCTTTAACAAATGCTTCTGATCTGGAACAAACACCAGTAAACCTCATTTTGACAAGATTAGAGAGAAAAACGTGATTTCAGAATGAGGTGAAATAAGCAGAATCTTAGGGGAGAAAAAAACCATGCTGTTTCTGTGTTAGAATTTTCTAATGGACAGTTCACCAATAAACATATGGGAAATAAATTTAACTTACCTGGGCTTTCAGAAAGTTTGATTAATCTCTTTTTTTAAGAGACCTGTTGAGGACAGTTAAGTATACAGAAGATGCAAAGTTGATCTCTTTCTTGAATGCAAAGAAACATCAAAAGTAATTGTCTGGTTTGCACTGAAAGAATGGGTACTTGAGCATTTTTAGTAGACTTAGCTTCCTGCATCATATTTACTGTATTGTGGGTTTTGTGAGCACACACATAGAGAAGGTACACAAGTGTAGAAATTTAGGTAGCCAAGGCCAATGACGTGTAACGTTTATTAATGAGCCATGAATTTTAACACAGAATCACTGATTAAAATTAACGAAGAAAGTTAGATGAGTGGACAAATAAAATGTAAGAACTGTGATTTTTACTTAATGAGACAAATTGACGTGTCTTTGAGTTCTCAGAAATCTCATCCCATTTTATATCAAATAAAAACATGCTAGCATGGTTGCCATTAAGGAAATCCAAGCATTTGTTTACTGGGCAAATAAAACATGAGTTAATTGGGTAAAAAACATAGATGTGCTTTACAGGTAGCTTTTTATTAGATATGCTGAACTTGTTGTAAAGTTACTTACATCTACGTTACATATGTTACTCTCTAAAACTCGGCATTTTTACCTTTTTCACTACCTGCTTAAGTCCTATTCTCCTTTATGCTGGGCACAAAATGATGAAAGTCAGACTGCACCTTGGCGTTGCTTCTGCTTGTCTCAACTTTTTAATGAGGCAGAGTCCTCTGTAATGAGACACTTCCTTGTTCATAGATTTTCCTGCAGCTTTTTGCCCCTTTAATCTTCACTCACCTGGTTTGTTACTTTCAACCTTTGTTTGCAAAGCAAATGTCAGGTCTTACTTCAGCAAATAGCTGTTGTTGCCCATGAGGTTATCAGACCCTTGACCTGGTACAGCTGTTTTACTTGTGCTGAAATGTGTTTCCATTTCATTGCGGCTGGTACTGGTTCTCGTTCAGCTGATGAATTTGCACTGTTCCATCTGCTGACTCCAGGCTGTTCCTTGAAGGAACTCAGAATTCCGATTTGAAGCATCATGCTGTCTTCCCTCAGGAGATGGCTGGTTTTGTAGGATTTCTGCCTGTATTTCTCCAAGGACTGAATCGGGTTTCTTGGGGTTTTGAATGATCAAGTTTGCACTCTTAATGGCATTGATCAGGGGGCAGGTTAGGATTCCTGCCTCAAATCTAAATCTGCCACCTCCTTCTGAAAGTTTTCCACGTGACATCACAGCATATCCATGTCATACAACTAAAAATGTTGAAATTCCCTTTAACTTTCTACCAAACAATTTTCAATGAGATAAATGGGAACTAGAACCCTCATGTTGTCAGTATATCCATTTGTCACTACTGATATGGTAATCTGTGAGACCTTTAGGTAAACTGTGTCAAGAAAGAAATATTCCAAGCTGGATTTGACAGGATAATATATTTTATCTTCATATGCATTTTGTTTAATTGATAAAGAAGTATTTAGTGATCCCAGAGAGAAGGGATGTTGACCTGTTGTACACTTCAGGAAACCAAATGGCTTCACCAACAAGTTCAGGGTCGTGATAGTGACTTTGTAAAATGTTGTTGAAATTATAGACAACATAAAATTATGAATTATTAGAGTTATTGATCGGAATAATTTAGTGTGCACACATGGAGTCTCTTAAAAAAAGAAAATTAGGGAGAAAGTGAGCTAACTTGGATCCCCTATTTTTCATCCTTCTGACTGAGTGTCTGTGGTTGAAACTGTGCTGATCATGCTCTGCCTTATAACTTTGTGTAATGAAAGTAAGGAATGGTAGGATATAAGTATGTAAACAACTGAGTCTGTTTACTGTATAAACAAATCAAAAAACTAGTGTCTGGTTGTGGAAGTGTATGTGTGTGTGACTCCAGGATACCACCATGGTTGTCTTCCTTTTGTAATAAGTATGAAAGAATGTACTCATGCAGAAAAACATACAAAATGGTAATCATTGATATTAGGAAAGGTAACTGCAATTGTGTCATCTAGGAGAAAAATAGCCATGAAACACAAGTTTTAACCAAGTCAGATAATTCAGAAGATGCAGGAGGCTGTCTGCAGAGTAGGAGTCTTTCAAATTTTGGAAGTTTTGTGATTGACCTTAACTTTTGATGTAATGAGTTAGCTGTTTTCTAGTCCTAGCCAATGTTGTACATTAAATCAGTGTCCCTGTGTGCTGTATTCTATTTTCCAGTTGAATTGGAACAATTTATCACTTAGCATTAAGTTGAAATTCAACATTTAGATACATGGTTGCATATGTCAATTTGAATAGGTGCCTGGAATACTTGCTAAGAAATGATGCCAATCCGGGGATCCGAGACAAACAAGGATACAATGCAGTTCATTATTCAGCGGCTTATGGTCATCGCTTGTGTCTTGAATTGGTAAGAAAACGTATCATAGATGAAAGCTGTAACAGCTGCTCTTACACAGTGTGAGGGAGAGGCCAGGGGATTCTTCCACCTTGGTTCTAAACCTGTAAGCTGGGTCAATATTGTTTTTCAGCCTCTGTAAGCATAAATATTTAAGCATTTGGTATTCCTAAAACAGAAGGTGAGGAGCTGAGATGCTGGACACTGGCTTTAAAGAGAATACATTCTCAGATGAGTAGAGGACATCCTCTGGTTGAGAATGTGGAATATTAGTTTTGTTTCTCAACTTAGACTGTACTTCTAATTTTTTTTGCTGATGGCTGAAATAAAATAACCATCAAGAACTTCTAAGAACTTTCATGAAGGTCATTAGAAGGAGCAAATGACAATATAGGGAAAACCTGTAAAGAAAGGGTGCCTTATAAAATTAATTCATGTAGTTACAGTAACTACTGGCCAGATATTTTAGATAATAAAGCCTTAGTTAGTTTTTTATTACTCCTTTTGCACAAATATATGTTATCTGATATGCTGTGTTATACAGTTTCAGTATTTTTATTCCAATTGCAGTTTTATATTCAAATGTTTTCAAACATGAATTCTTACTGTTTTTAATTGCAGATTGCAAGCGAAACACCTCTAGATGTTGTAAGTGTATTATTTCTCACTGTTAAAGTACTGCTATACAGCAAAAGAGAACATGTAATTTCAAAAATAATGCTTATTTTTAGACTTATTCAACCATTTCTTCAATGCATAAATATATTATTTAATTTCAACTACAATTTAGATTTAATTGCACTTTGGAATTTTAAAATAGGAAATTATTTTTTAAGCCATGTACTTTTTTACTTAAACAATTGTATGACCATGTTATAAAACTGTGATAATGAAAACATGATTTGAATGTATGTTGTGTTCTTCAGCCACTTTGAATGTTTTAATTCTACTTGTGTACTCAATTAAATGGTCTTGAAAAAGACCCAGAATGAAAACTTTTGGATACATCTGAAAGTAACAGATAGAAATGTATATACATAGGTATTTTAATGCCATACTACCTCTGCCTTTTTTGAGACCATTTTTTCTCTCTCAGAAATGTTTTTCTGTTCTGAGAAGTCAATCCTGCCTTCTGGCCTTTCACGTTGTTTTCTTGCTGATGTTTCACCTAATCTAAAAGCTTACTTGGTTGGTTGTTTGGTTTTTCATTTTTTCCTGCTGCTATCACCTGTCCTTGTCTTCTCTTTGTATACATTTCATCTATATTATTTCATATGGCTGCTTCAGAAAAAATGATTTTAGCTTAGTTTCTGATTTAATTATTGCTTTGTTATGCAAAATTAACCAACTGGGCTTAGTGGCTGGATATGGGGGAAGGGTTGCAGTCACTGTAATTCAAACTCTGTAAAAGGTTGAAGGAGATCAGGAGATAGTAATTTTATATTATTCTTCCTGTTTTTTTTTCCTTTTCAAGCTGTGTATACTGGAAACTATAGCAATTATTGCTAAGTGTTTTTAAAGATGAGGGGTTTTGCACTTACTCTGACTTTCTCTCTCTAAGCTAATGGAAACATCAGGTACTGACATGCTGAATGATTCAGACAACAGAGCACCTATAAGTCCACTGCATTTAGCTGTAAGTGTTTCGTTCTTTAGTGATGACAGCTCTTCTAGTGGCACACAGTGGTTGCACAGGTTGATCCATTCTGAATTTTTTCAAAATAGCTTAATAACAATAAAAATTCAAACATATGCACTAATATTCCTGAATGAGGTATACAGGGTGATTTTTGCATTTCACTTGAAACTTGCTTCATGGAACAGCTTTCATGTGGAATCTTCTAATTAAGATTTATATTATAATTTATACTAATGAAACTTTTATAAGACTTGTTCTGTAAGTAATTATGACTTTTTTTTAATGACCACATTGTTTTACTCTCCTTGTTGTTTAGTAAGAGAAATATTTTTCCTTAATACTTGAAGAAAGATTTTCACAGAGTACTGTAGGACAGTGATGAAACTGTCTATACAAATATATTCAAAATACAGAGTAAGCAGCTGAATATGTAGCTTTCATCTTTTCACTGAACTTCAGGCAAATGAAAAACCACACTGTACTATCTGAAAATAGAGTAAGTCTCATGCAGTACCTATATATGTATCGCCAAAGGAAAAAATAATCCTTAATACTGGTAAATGACAGCTATTTGTACTATATTCTTTTTACTGGATTTTTTAAATACTTTATGTAAAAAGCTAACAGGAATTACTTAAGTTTGCTTATGCTCCTCACTTGAAATAATCTCAGTATGAGATAAAGCAATGAAACATGCAGTATTCAAAGTACTGTTAGTTTTACAAATTGAAGACAGATGATTTTGTGAAAGTAGTTGCAGCTGCTGAAAGGATAAAACAAAAAAAAGATAGATAGATAGATAGATAGATAGATAGATAGATAGATAGATAGATAGATAGATAGATAGATAGATAGATAGATAGATAAAATAGAGAAAAAAACCACCAACCTTTTTGCTGAAATTGTGGGATTTTTTAAATTAGTCATAACTGTTGTAACTACTTATGTGCTATATCAGTACCTCTTCTAAATATTAAAACAAAAATGCTATCTTAATGGTTTCATTCATGTTGTCCTGGTAAGAAAGAAAAAAAAATGTGAAGAATGGGAAAACTGAAGAATTTTCTTATTCTTGTAGGCCTATCATGGCCACCATCAAGCTCTGGAAGTGCTGGTACAGTCACTGCTGGACCTTGATGTGAGGAATAACAATGGAAGGACACCACTGGATCTTGCTGCCTTTAAGGGACATGTGGAATGTGTAGATGTGCTCATTAATCAGGGAGCATCCATCTTGGTGAAAGATTATGTTGTAAAGAGAACTCCAATACATGCTGCAGGTATGTTCTAACTTCTAAAATTTTGTCTTTTGAAGTGGATCATCTTTGTATTTCAAAGTCTAATTAATGTTCTAAGAAACAATGTTTAGGGATAGATGCTAAAGTATAACATAACAGTTTTGAGTAGAAAGCGCTATTAATCTAGTAAATCAGTTTGGCTCAAGGAGTGCTGTTCCACACTTCCCTCTGGAAGGGTACATTGTCCTTGTCCGTTCAACTGGCTGAGCTAGCTGTGCTAGCACGCAGCCCAAACTTAGATAGGTGAATTGTGTTGCCTGTCTTGGCAGTAAAATACTTCTAGAAATGACTGGAGTCTTGAAGAATTTTGACAGTTTGAGAAGAGACATGAAAATTTACTTGGATATTTTTCCAAGGATTTAAATGACTCCTGAACATTTTCAAGGTAATAGCAGTCCTTTTCTCCCTGCATTTCCTGGAAAATATGTGTAAGCCTACCTTTCTCAGAGTCTAGCATTCATACTCTATTCTTATTTTTTTCTCTCTGAAAATAGGCTTATTAAAGTTGACATTTATAGTAATGCTGCTACAGAAATGTTGCTGTTAAAAGAACATTATATACAAAATATCATCATTCTAACCATTTAATTTTTTGTCCATGAGCACAAGCTGTATTCTTCTATTTGATTTAGCTTTCTTAACTTGTGTTAGCATTTCTGTCAGCTACAGAAGCATGAATTGTTGCCGTTCTTATGTAGACTGAATACTGCAGCTGTAGGTCAGAAACAATTTCCGTTCCAAGAAGCAATCATTTATCTTTCATGAGCTGCATTTAAATGTGATTTCTCAATTTTTTGTTTCTTTTTTTTCCCCATGTCTTTTAACTGCTTGGTTTATTACATCTATGCATTACATTTCCTTCCCCTTTCTAAGTGTGATTTCAGTTATTATTTTATAGCTATGCTCATGCTACACTTGTTAACAAAATCTGTATATCATTTGCTAAGTATGTGGTTATCTGTGCCTTAAAACAAGCAAAACTTATGCTAATTACTATATTTAATTATTCCTTCTTTTAGATGTCATATAAGCATATATTCTAATTATGGTTAATGTGTGCAATCTCATTTATATGTAAAAAAAAATTGTTGGCAATTGACAGCTTGACTCAATTATTTTTAATACTGTACAGTTGAGAATACCTGATTTCTGAAATTATTTTCTAGTGTTCATGTTTTAAGTTATAACAATGGTAAAGCTGTACAATGAGTTTTCAAGCTAATGGGCTTTAGTCTGAGCAGGCTAGTGCTCTGTTTGAGCTATATACTCAAAGGCAATTAATGTAAACCCCTTATTTTTATAATGTTTTACAGCTACAAATGGTCATTCAGAATGTTTGCGGCTATTGATAGGAAATGCAGAACCACAGAATGCAGTGGACATTCAAGATGGAAATGGACAGTGAGTTTAAATGATAGACATTCCATTCTTCACAAGTTATTGCATTTCATAAAAGGACAAACTAAATATTTTACAGTGGTGATTTTTAACTTATTTTAAAGAGAGCTTATATTTGAATTTGGACAAATACAACTGTGTGTATTGCAATAAACATAATGTTGGTAGTGAAAAATGTTCAGTTGGGAGGGAACTAAAATGTGTCTTATTGTCTAGATGCTGAGAAAATGGATTCTAGTAACTGAATCGGGACTTTGCAATTCGGGGATATGAATTTATTTTCTTGAATCTATAAACCAAATGACTGGCATTCTCAGAGTGAAGGTAGTGCCAGAGGAGATCATTCATGACGTGAATTTTAACAATTTTAACCAGAAGGATAGTAGTTGTTGTAGTTCAGCTGAGTGCTAGTCTATTAGATTTCCAGGTAGATTACACTGTATTTTGCTCTCTGCTTAGGACTCCTCTGATGATGTCAGTTCTCAACGGGCACACGGACTGCGTTTATTCACTCCTTAACAAAGGAGCAAATGTAGATGCCAAAGATAAGTGGGGAAGGACAGCATTGCATAGAGGGGTAAGATATTATTCCTTCTCTTTCCTTGAGAGTTTTATACGTCCTAATTTCAAGAACAGAGTTAATATGTGGTGGTATTCAATTTCTCATTATTCTCATCTTGCCATTCTTAGTTTTAATTGTCTTTTTAGTTGCATTCAAAAGGCTGGTTTTTGCCTGTTTGCAACCTACTCTCAGAATTCTTTTGTAATTCTAGAGTGTCTTAATCTTGCTGTAAAGTGTTGATTGGAGAGGTGCTGGAGTACAGCTTTTTGTTGAGGGTGGGGAGTTAGTGTTTATGGGAGGAAGAAAATTGTGATGCATGCCATATTCCAAATATTTTGTTTGTAGTTTCTGCCAGATAAGACAATTGAATGAGCCCTAGAGATTAGCAGTTCATTCCATGTTATTCCAAGAAAATATTCTGTCATCAAGATTACAAGACATTGCCATTTTTCCAAAAGAATGGCAGCTTTCAAGTTTAAGAATAATAACTTATTTTGCTTATTTTGTTATTAATTAAAAATGCAAGGATTTGCCTGAGGTTTGCTTGCTTTAGTTATACACCTTGGCTTATATACATGAATATTTTCCAACTCGCTCTTTCCTCTCCCTCTTACAGGCAGTTACTGGGCATGAGGAATGTGTGGAAGCATTGCTTCAACATGGTGCTAAGTCCTTACTACGAGACTGTAGGGGACGAACCCCTATACACTTGTCAGCTGCCTGTGGCCATATAGGTGTTCTGGGAGCTCTCCTGCAGTCAGCTACATCAGTGGATGCAGTACCTGCAATAGCAGACAATCATGGCTACACATCACTGCACTGGGCCTGCTATAATGGTAACATACAGCCAAGTTAAAATACAGCTCTAAATGTGTTTGTTTATACTGAGGTAGAAGTTATTATTCTGTAGAAAAGCAACATATAAAGTCTGTCCTCCTTCTGTTTGTATTAGTCAATGGGAGAATATGACAGATGTGGTATCTTGAAGAGGAATATATTAACATCTAATACATAATAAGAGATGTTTATTTTTGGCCTATATTTTTGTTATATATGATCTTCTTAGTTTTATGCCTCAAGGAGTTTTTCAAGAAATTCAGCATAGTATCCTTGAATAGAAATGGGCCACATATCCCAAAAACATCACCTTCACAGGGAGTCTTGGGAGGAATGTTTTCAGATTAAATCTGTTTTTAAACTTGCTTCATATCAACCATGATAGGCATAAGAAGCTAAAGTATATAAAAGTGATTGCATAAGAATTTATTTTTTTCTTCACTGATACTTTTCATGGATTTGAGAGTGAGGGAGGCCTTAAAAGGTAGGAAATTCATTCAGCTCCTTTGCTAAAGATTTTGTTCTGTATGTTCATCTCTGACATAGTAGAGGTTGTCATTTATTTCACCTCTGAGTGACATGATAAAGGAAAATGAAGAAGTAAGTGTTTATTCCAATTATTATTAAGTTAATAACTACTGAGCTGATGCAGCTGGGTGATAATTTGAACTAAAATAACATCTCTATCACATTCATAAAATTAAACTCTTGCAGCTTGGTCCATTTTCACAGTGGCGACAATCTCTGAATAAAACAGAACTGAGATAAATGCTTGATTTGTAGGATGAAAATTTGACAGGACTTATGAAAATTCAAATCTTTAGACATCAGTGAATGTTGAGCTAAGGTATTCTATGTATAGGCATTGAAGATCAAATAAATAGTTACCATTGTTAGCTGCCTGTCCAGCAGCAGGGTATAGAATTTTTAAAATATTAGTATGATGGGTTGAACGCGTTCTTTTTAAGATTTTGTTACGACTATCGACTTCATTTTTCTTTGGGTTTAGCAAGTCAGTGGAACAAAAATAAAGCTCAAATGGTGGAGATGTTTTCATGTAGACAAAGTGATGAATGTACAGAAGAGTTTGAAATTCAAAGGTGTAAAGAATTAAACTAAGTGTTCTGGATATTTTTCAGACATCATGAGATACGTTCTAAATTTAATAAAATTTACAGTTTGATTTTCAGGATTCTAAAAATACCTTAGTTCCTTAACGTAGCCCTGTTGAATATAACCAGTCTTTCTTAGAAACTTTGAAATAAAATACTGCTTAATCTAATTTAGATAAATATTTTTTGTTGTAATCCATCATTATACCTTTTCCCTTTTTTGTAATACCTAACTCTTACATTTGCTTTAGGTCATGACAGTTGTGTAGAGCTGCTTCTGGAACAGGAAATTTTTCAAAAAATGGAAGGAAATTCTTTCAGTCCCTTGCATTGTGCTGTGTAAGGAAGTGTAAAATTATTCTTCATATATTTAATTGCTGTATATAACAAAAGATTTATCATTCTGTAAATAACAGCCTGTTTAATTCATTATAGGATAAATGACAATGAAGGTGCTGCAGAAATGTTAATTGACACATTAGGTGCTGGTATTGTAAATTCAACAGATTCGAAAGGAAGGTAAGAGTATAAATGCACAAAAGAATGTTTGTAATGTCATACTCTGGCTGTGCTTAATTCTTCAATCATTTGGGGTTTTTCTATTTGCTACTTATGTTAATTCCTCATTCCCCAGTTTTATTCTCTGAAGGTTTATTTTTTTTATTCTGTGCTAGAAATAAATTTTGGATTTTTAAAAATCCTGTTCTGATTTAATAAACTTGGGTTAGCTTTTCATTATACAGGCAAGTTAGAGCATGTTTTAAATTGTATCACTTTGTGGATATCATTTTATACATATTTTAATTTTTCTGAATCAGATTGTATCTCTATTATAAACTACATGGGGGGGAATTATTTGAAACTAGAAGGTGACTTTCTAAAGGCAGCAGTCACAACTCCATCAATACTGATTGCAGAGGATCAGTGGGAGGGACTGCCCAGACCTTTGTATTTGTAGGATCTGTCAGGATGTTCCTTTGAATAAAGTAGAAAGCATGGCTGAACATGGCCATACTCTCTTTTGCTCTCTTGTAGAACTCCTCTGCATGCAGCAGCTTTTACAGATCACGTTGAGTGTCTACAGCTTCTGCTTGGTCACAGTGCTCAAGTAAATGCTGTAGATTCTTCTGGGAAAACACCTTTAATGATGGCTGCAGAAAATGGACAGACGAATACAGTTGGTAAAGAGAAAACTTCTTATATCTCTGCTCTTAGCTTTGTTAATCTTACTATGGGTGAAGTAGCCTTATAGTTAACATTCTTGTGAACATATCTGGTCAAAATTCTGTTTTCATTTTGCACAAATGTGAGCCATTTAGATTTTAAGGAATATGCTTTTAGTTAATACAAATCTTTATTTCCCCAGAGGTGCTGGTTAGCAGTGCTAAGGCTGATCTGACTTTGCAAGACAGTTCTAAGAACACAGCACTCCATTTGGCTTGCAGCAAGGTGTGTGTGGTCTGACTTACCAGTGCTGCGCTTTGTGTTATCAAGCGCTGTTTGAAAATACTGTGACTTTGAAAAAGCATTCAAAGCAATTTGTGAAGAGTATTTGCTGTATGACAGATGTTTGTTCTGTGTTTAAGGGTCATGAAACTAGTGCCTTGTTAATACTGGAGAAGATTACGGATAGAAACCTCATCAATGCCACCAATGCAGCCTTGCAAACGTACGTATCAGCAGTGAGGGTATTTTAAAGATGGTTCTTGGTGTATATTTTGCTCATAAAAAGGCATCTTTTTCAGATTTTTTTTTCCCCAAACTGGTTGAATTTTAATTGTTTATCAGGTACCAAAAGTTAAATTGACTTGGAATTGAAACGGTGTTTGGCTCATACCTGAAGTTCCAATTTTAGATGGGTGAAAGGGATGATAAATAAAACATTGTTGTGATTCCTGTGTGGAATTACTGCAATCCACTGAGATTACCTGTGAACCGATATTTTTCTATTTTAAAAATTATCCAAATTTTCAATTAAAATTCACTTCAGTTAACAACTCATTCAAGGCAAACTAAGATTTGGTCTTCAAAGATAGCTACTTTAAACAAAAAAACACCAACTACCTGAACTGTGCTTTTATTCTTCAGCATGCTTTCTATTTCATGTTTTGAGGATGAAACACTACTATTAAATATCATGGAGAATACGCTATTCCTAAATGTTCCTAAAGATCTTCTCTCAAGTAGAATTAAGCCTATTTTGTTAGCCCAAATCATAAGGAAAGCTTAGACATGTATAGTATGTCATACCAATCAGGATGGGCTATTAAAATGACTCTTCTGTGTTTTTTCCTTTTAGAGAATATGTTTGTGTTACAGACAATACTTGATATCTCGTGTGTAGCCAAGTTAGGCACATGAATTGTTGCACTGTTTTAATAATGCTATCACAGATCATTTAGAAAAAAAAAAAAACAAAACTGGAACTCGTAAGCAACTCGAATATTGTTCTGGCATTACATCCCTTCTGGAATCTTCTCTTATTTAAACTCCTGCAGTTCTTCCAGCTATTCCTTGAGATCTGCTTGAACTAAGGAGTTAAAATAGTAAGACTCCTTCCTTTGCTTTTGCTGCTCACCATGGTGCACCTCAGGCAGCTTGAAATAACCAGAAAGCAGGAAAGGGATTGATTGCCTCTTTCTGGCTTGAAGCAAGGATGTCTTGAGAGAAGGAAAACAAAAATGAGATGGGAACAGAAGTGGGAAAGTACGCTACCACAGGCTCTTGTAATTCCACCCACGTGCCTTGACTCTGATCGAGAGATGTCATGGGGGAAAATAGGTACACATTTGCACCTCCATGAAATGTTTATATAAATTGCAAGGTTTTAACAGATGTTGAAAATATCACTGCTTTAACAAATGTTTAATAACTAAATTGACTTTCTGAACAGCTTAAACAAAGTCCTTCTTTGTGGCAAGATACGAATTAAAATTGTTGGTCTCTATATTAAAATTATTTTAATTACAGTACATTTTTCAGTATGTCCATGGTGTGCAATAATTCTTGAATTTTTAATATTTTAATATAAGCACCATAGGTATAGCTGCTCCTATTTGTATCT